ATATATATTTATTTATTTATTTATTTATTTTCTTCTTTTTTTATAAATAGGGTCTCTGCTGGATGAAGACAGAGAGACAAAGAAATTATTTATTATTATTTTACTGTGCATGCATTCATATTAACTTTTTAAAAATGCATACGGGGCTGGCGTTTGGAAGTCGTTGTAGAAATACTCCTCTCAAGAGCAGCAGCAGCAGCAGCAACAGCAGCAACAACAGCAACAGAGCAGAGCCAGCACCAGCAGAAGCAACAGCAGCAGCAGCAGCAGCTGCAACAGAGCAGCAGCATCAGTGGCGGCAGCAGCAGCAGAATCAGCAACAGCAGCAATAGCAACAGTTGCAGCAGCAGCAATATCAGCAGCAGCATCAGTAGCGGCAGCAGCAGCAGAATCAGCAACAGCAGCAATAGCAACAGCTGCAGCAGCTGCAATATCAGCAGCAGCATGAAGAGCAGCAGCAGCAGCATCGGCAGCAGCATGATGGGAGAGTAAGGAAATTAATTCGTCTTTTATATATTATTCAATCGTTTGGAGTTATTTTATTATTGAAGGCGAACTTTTGCTGCAAGTTGTTTTGCTTCTTTGTTTGTTTTCTCTAGCTAAATTTATATTTTCTATTTAGTCTTATTATTTTTAGTCTTATTATTACTATTATTATTCTTATTATTATTATTAATATTCGTATTGTTATTATTATTCCTATTGTTATTATTATTATTATTCTCATTCTCATTTTTACTGTTAGTAATCTTATTAGAATTATTATTCTGCTTGTTTTCATATAATATTTTTTTCTTTATTTGTTTTGATTCTTATTTGCATTTTAACCAATATTATTATTCTTATTCCTATTGTTAGTATTATTATTAGTATTATTATTCTATTTGTTTTCCTGTAACAGTATTTAGACTTCTTTATTTCTTCTTAATTTGTTTTATTTGTTTATTATAAAGGATAATATAACAATGAGAGCAACATAACTGATATGAATTATTACTACCATACAATTTATAGAAAGCCTGCTTGGGGTTAGTACACTCGAAGCGACGAAACAAACAACAAAATAGAGAAAATAAATAATTAAATTTTCTTTAATTTATTTATTTTATTCATTTAAAATATATTTAATGATAGCGGCAGTATTATTATGTTGAGTTTTTATTTTTCTTTCCTTTTGCATGCATGCTGATACGTCAGCCCCAGTAGGCAGCCCGCTGATTTTGCTGCATTTTTTGAATTATTTCGCGAGAATTGAATGAAATAAAAAAATAAATAATTAAATAAATATACTTTATCTTTTACAAGAAACATTAATCCGCTCTGAACGTCCGGATGGCACTTGTACGTCGCGTGTGCTGCTCTCCTGCAGAGTCTTATTTGAGGGAAACCTGCAGCTTTTTCTTCATTTTTTTGTTTAAATAGCCCTATTTTAATGTTTAATGTTTATTATTTTTAATATATTGCTCAATGTTCCACTCAATCGCGCAAAACTACACCCCCGTATCCCTCAACATCTGCGGAAACCCAAACTCACCAGTGGATGCAGCTACCGAAACGATATAAATTCATGTTGCGGTTTTTTTCGCTTTTTTCTGTTTGTCTTCATTTCCTTTTATTGTTTATTGTTGTTTATCTTTGTTTATTTGTTTATTCTCAACAAAATGAGGTATTGGAGCCTGATTAACACCAGTTGAGTTGTTTATTTGTACAATCGCGGCTGTCCGATTCCTATTGTCTTACTATCCGCATATTTTCTTTTATTTATGTACTTAAATAGATGCTTATTTGTATATTTATGAATACATTTGTTTATTAAATTTATTTATTCCACTCCTTGTCTTTTTTTTTATTTGTTTTCTGCAGCGCATCGCCCGGCCGCTGCTGGCGGCCGCCGAGTTTCCTACCCCGGTAATCTGCAGTTTTAAACTAATTTATTTTTTTTGAATTAATCAATTAAATTATTTATTTATGCTTTTGATGTTTGTTTATTTATACTTCCTTTAAATATATCCCCTTCTGCTTTGCTCGTAGCATTGCATTCCGTTTTGTTCTGTCTTTTTTTGTTTTGTATAATGAATATAGGGTTTAGGGTTTAGGGTTTACGTGTTTTTCTTGCCTTATCTGTTGTGTGTTTTAATATAAATTTGCGTATATTTGTCTCTATACGATGCAGCAAATGTTTTTCTTCATCTCTGTCATCTTCCCTCTTCCCGTATTTTAGGGTTTAGGGTTTAGGGTTTAGGGTTTAGGGTTTAGGGTTTGCGTGTGTTAGGCGCAGCCCCTAGGTACAGGCGTTGTCTTTGAACACGTTTTACCTGTTAAGTATGCTCTTAGTGGCCCCAAGTGGTGTGCCGTCGTCGCCTCGGGTTTAAGCGGAGCCTTTGCTGGAAACTTCTTCTTTAAAAACTGCATCATGAGAAAAAACCCTCCAAATGTAAACCCTAAACCCTAAACCCTAAACCCTTATTAGTTCCTTGTAGGAACTCTAAGCAAGAAGGACAAACCCTAAACCCTAATTCGCAGATGTAAACCCTAGAGCTCTTTCTTTAAAACTTCATCATGAGAAAAAACTCTCCAAATGTAAACCCTAAACCCTAAACCATAAAGAGCTCTCATAAACCCTAAACCCTACTAAACCCTAATACTGCTCTTGGAAGCATAATAAACCCTCACAAACCCTAAACCCTAGACAACCTTAATAATAAACCGTAGCAAACCCTAACAAGCCGCAATACACCCGAAAACTAATGTACTTATATTTATATTTATTTATATTTATTTATTTATATTTATTTATTTATATTTATTTATTTATATTTATATTTATTTATTTTCTTTTTTCTTACAGCCTCCTCGAGACCCCAATGAACGGCCGCCGGAGCGACATCCGCACGCCCCAGAGGAGGAGTAGAGAATTACAAAGAAATAAATTTAAATTATAAAAAATAAATTAAAATAAAATAAAATAAATAA